CTGTCTTCGACGCCGTGCTGGTGTGCAGCGGGCACCACGCTGATGCACATCTCCCACTGAACACCTTCCCAGGTACAGCCCTGCACTGAATGAGGAAACACCACAGAAAGCTCGGCCATGCCAGTCCCTACTCTCCTTGCTGCTTTTCCTCTCAGCCCTAGCATTTCCCTGCGTTGCTTTGACTCCAGGAGTGTTCCCATGCTCCCCAGGAGTGCTTTGGTGGGGTGAGGGAACATCTCCACTTCAGTCTTTGTGGGGGTGATCCTCCAGCCTGGCACAAGGAAGCCAGGCATATCTTCTCCCTGCTCACAGGAATCGAGAAGTTCAACGGCCGCTACCTCCACAGCCGAGACTACAAGGACCCTCAGGATTTCAGGGACAAGAGGGTCGTTGTTATCGGGATTGGGAATTCAGGGTCAGACCTGGCTGTGGAGATCAGCCAAATGGCCAAGCAGGTGAGAAGCGGGAGTTAGGGTCCTGGTGGGCAGGGCAGCCCCCTTTGGGATACTGTTGGCTCCACAAGGACACCAGGACCAAGGCACTTGCACAGCCACTCCTCCATCCCAGCACTCACTGTATGTGGCCATGCTGGCACCCGCCAGTCTCAGCCACCAGGCAGTGGTGGCAGTTGAAAGTCAGTCCCACATGGACCCCAATTTTTTTCCGAGCCCCAGGCTGAGGGTGCCCCTGTGGCACTTCCCTACCTCTCCCTGCTAGATGCCAATCACCAGCTCCCTCTGCCCTCTGGGTCTTTGCCCAGTGTGGCAGCACAAAGCAGAGTGATCCCAGGGCAAGGACATGTCCCCCCTGGGGCAGCCCCCCAGGACCATCACTGCCTTCAGGAGCTGATGCTTCTTCCTTGTCCAGGTCTTCCTCAGCACCCGCCGGGGTGCATGGATCCTCAACCGCGTTGGAGATCAGGGCTACCCCATCGACACCATCTTAACCACCCGCATGAAGGTATTCCTGCAGGAGCTGCTCAGCCCGTCCCTGGCGTGTGACTACATGGAGAAGAAGCTGAACGCCAGGTTTGACCACACGCATTACGGCCTGAAGCCAAAGCACAGGTATCAGCAAACACTCCCCCTGCCCAGGAGGGACCCACCGTCTCCCTCTGTGTCCAGCCTTGCTTTACCATTCCACGCTCCCTATGTCTGGAAACCAGGTTAATAGCTGCCTTGTGCCCAAGCAATGTTCAAGGGAACCACCATTGCCCCTTCCAAGGACCCTTGGTGGCACCAGTGCAGGGGCAGCCGCTCAGCATCTCTGGGGGATCAGCCTTTTGAGAATGAGCATCCCTGGGGATGAGCATCCCCAGAGCAGGACACAGAACAGAGACACTCCCTCCCCAGTGCCCTAATGGCTCCTTGTACCTTCCAGGGTCCTTCACCAGCATCCAACCATCAACGATGACCTGCCCAACCGCATCATTTCAGGCAGGGTGCGGGTGAAGCCGAACATCCAGGAGTTCACAGAGACATCTGCCATCTTCGAGGATGGCACCAGGGAAGACATTGATGTTGTAGTTTTTGCCACAGGATACAGCTTCTCCTTCCCATTCCTTGAGGGCTTTGTGAAGGTGGTGGAGAACCAGATCCCCCTCTACAAATTCATGTTCCCCCCTGACCTGGAGAAGCCAACGCTGGCTTTCATCGGCTTCATCCAGCCCCTGGGTGCCATCATGCCCATCTCCGAGCTCCAATGTCGCTGGGCCACTCGCGTCTTCAAGGGTAAGTGAGGCAAACCTGCCCCATGGCTGCAGCCTGAGCCTGAAGCCCTGGAGCAGGGGCAGATGGTGCCAGCCATGTCAGGGAGGCTGTGGCATCCTGGCTTGCAGCCCTCATGGTGAGATGGGCTCTTGCCTGACAGGCACAGAGACATCCATACCCTGTGTTCCATGGGCTGCTCCTTCCCATCCTGAGGAGCTCAGAAAAGCCTCAGGTGCCAGACCACTGGCCATGGTGGTGCCAGCAGGGGCACAGCACCCAGGCAAGGGCAGCACCAGAGTGGCCACCGTGGCCAGCAGGGTGCAGCCTCCCCATGCTGTGGCTCATCCTCCCTAGGTCTGAACGAGCTGCCCCCGCGGCACGACATGGAGGCTGACATCGAACAGAAGAAGGAAGCGATGGCAAAGCGGTAAGATCCCCACAGGAACAGGGAGGGGGCTGCTGTGGGCACAGCTGCCCGTGGGCACCCATCCTGTCCCATGGCTGCATCCCGGCACATTTGTTCATGCCAACAGATGTCAGGGATATGATTGGCCACACTACCCCCAGCCCAGTAATCCTTCCCCGTGGTAATCCATCCAATACTGCCTTACTGGTGCACAGGGCATCTGCCAGCTCTGCTGCCAGCACCTGCCCTTCCTCCCTGCCTACAGGTATGTGAAGAGCCAGCGGCACACCATCCAGGTGGATTACATCCCCTACATGGACGAGCTCGCCTGCCAGCTGGGAG